GTCTATCCTCTGCCAAATTCGAGCTAGCTGACTTAGGTGCGCCGCACCTTCCTTTGCTGTTAAAGCCCTGAAGAGTTTGAGGTCCTAGGCCCCCTCACTCTCTCTCCCTCCCCGTACTGTTGTACCATTGACCGTCTTACATTAAAAGTATTGTTATTACTTGTGTGTGTTTGACCCGTACTTGCCCCATTAGATCCCACGTCCCACTCGCCCACGTCGTGCCCTACCTGCGCTCCCGAGAAAAGAGCCCAGGCACTCTTTGAAGTTGAGTTCGTCTAGTGTGTGTTACACTGGGCGGACTCGTCTAATTCTACATGAGTTTCGANGGACGGCACTCGCGACTACGTGCCGCTGTTTACGCCAAATTTCACTTCAACAAGACAGTAGTTGTCGACCTCGCGCCCCAACTTTTGCCAGCCATCTTTACGTACAACAGTTGACGTTGGTCACCTTTCTGACGAGAATTGTGACTAACAAGTCCATGTTGACTCTGTGAATCGCTCTTGAAGAAAGGTGCACATTTCTTCAAAGTTGCGCTGCTACATTCTTGCATTTGCATTGCAAGTTGTTATTTTTCCCGACCCCAGTCTAATTGCAATTAGCCTCTGACGCCCTGCCTAGGTCCTCAGAGTTGTTGTTACCCTACAACATTGAAAATTGATCAAAATTTGCTGCAACAGCCACAAACATCGATTGCCATGATGTTACATCACGCTGAAATTAGCGCCCGGACCGCCACTGATGCCCACAAATGCCCTGATGTTAATGCTATAGATAGCATAATGATTGCCCTGGATGCCCATGATGCCCCTGATGCCAATGCTGAACTGATTGCACCTGCCCCTGCTTTGACTACCGCCTCCAGTTCAACCGCTCCTGACTTTGCCTTTAATGACCCGGCTCCTGCTTCGATCGCCGCCGACCTTGATCCTAAGAAGACCCCAGCCCTTGCCATGCCTGACCCTGAATTGCCAGCCCTTGCCACGCCTGCCCCAGAATTGCCAGCCCTTGCCACGCCTGCCACTAAATTTCCAGCCCTTGCCACGCCTGCCCCAGAAATGCCAGCCCTTGACACACCTGCCCCTGAATTGCCAGCCCTTGCCACGCCTGCCCCTGCATTGCCAACTTTTGCCACGCCTGCCCCTGTATTGCCAGCCCCTGCCACGCCTGCCCCTGTATTGCCAGCACCTGCCCTGACCGCCGCTGCATCTACCTTGAATGCCCCCGCACCTGCCCTGACTGCCGCCGCATCTACCTTGAATGCCCCAGCAACTGCCATAATCGCAGCCGCCTATGTTTTGACCGCCCCTGCATTTACCCCTGCCCCTGCCTGGACTATTGCCGCCCCTACTTTGACGTCTGCCCCTGCCCTTGCTTCGACTTCCGCCCCTGCTCCTGCCCCTGGCCCGGAAATTGCCCCTGATGCCACCGCTGAGAATAGCGCACTGACTGCCCTGCCTGCCCACATTGCCCCTGATGCCACCACTGAGAATAGCGCACTGCCTGCCCTGAATGCCCACCTTGCCCCTGATGCCACCGCTGAGAATAGCGCATTACCTGCCCTGAATGCCCACATTGACCCTGCTATTGCCGCTGAGAATAGCGCACTACCTGCCCTGAACGCAACCAATGCCCCTGAAGCTACCACTGAAAATAGCGCACCGATGGCAAAAGAGATGAAGTTTTCCGCTGATACTGCCACTACTGCCGCCAAAAATGCAGAGAGCACCGCTGCATCGCCCGATGCTAAGACAATGAACACTGCAATGGATCCCACACGTACCGGTACCGACCCAGAGAACCAGCAGACCCCGAAAGAGACACAAACAGGCACATTTTCAGACACCCACAAAGCCTGTTCAATTGACCAGATGCTCCGCCTAATGACTGATGACACAAGCTCAGATGACGAGCTTGAACTACTAATTGAAAAGGAAATTGTAGATGTTTCCCGCAGAAACAAACACGAGAGAACAGTTTTGGAAACTATTGAACTAATGGACAGGTGTGCTAACCTGCTCCAATGGTTTGGAGAGGAAACGCGATTTCAATATGGTTTTCACCCAAACATGGAACATGATGAACTGGATTTTCTTCGCCGACAAAACAGATGGTACGACATTGACCGTGTTTTGATCGCAATGGACCATAGTCCCCGAGGACTGAACACTAATTTGCAAGTCCTATTTGACGCCATCGCCAACTTGCCTAATAGCCACACTGCTGATGCCCCTGAAACCACTGACGTTGCCCCCGTAGGAGTCGGTGNGCAATGGACCATAGTCCCCGAGGACTGAACACTAATTTGCAAGTCCTATTTGACGCCATCGCCAACTTG